CGAACATCACAACGAGTATGAGCAATAGTGAGGCCGTTCCACAAGGTGGGGCAATATGGATGGCTTTGGGCCTCTTCTCCTCAAGCATCTGAAAGAAAGTGGCTTCACCAGAGTCGAGCTCAAGTCGATGTTTACTGAGGCAGCCTTGGTTTCGTGCTTGTTGTTTGCCCAGTCAACTACTATACCCCTCACGCCAGAAAGGCGAGCAGCACAGGTGAGGCCAGCAGAGCCTGCAAAGACTTCCATGAAGACAGGAGACGAAGAGCCGCCTGTTGCCCTGAGACTCATTGGTATCCCAGAAGGGACGACGTCACCTGCAGATGGCAGCATAAAGCCCAGGGAGGCCAGAGTCGCCCGGTGTGATTCGGACGCATGCCCAAAAGCTTGCAGACTGTAGGCCACCATGACCAAGCGGCGGCCTGAGAACCTTGAGGTGCAGTGATGCAAATGTTTGGCACAAAAGCTGACCGGCCCTTCGGACACAGGAAGGTGGCAACCCGTGACCATTCGATCACCGATGTTCTTGTCCTCATAAGTAAGAGAATTGTCATGAGGAACATCATGAGGCCATTCGACCCAAATTGATCCTCCAGAAAAGGTGTCAAGAGGAATAACGACATTTGGCCATTCGGAATTTAGAGCATCTATGTGAAAATCGGTTTGCACATCCTCAAAGAGAGCAAGCGATGTCCAACGATGAGCTGGAGCACAGGCCTTGACATAGGCATTGAATGGCCTAGTGGCCTGGGGAAACGTAGTGCAATTGGCCCTGAGCCCAGTTTTGACTCTGGAATACAAACCTGTAAAGAATGATTTTCCTGAGGAAGATCTAGATGACTCAGCTTCACAAGGCAAAAGGTTAAACAGCTCACACAGCTTAGAGGGTTGCACTGGATGCTTAACAAGGTCAGCAGCAAAGTCCTCTGGATGATTTCTCGACTGAGGTCCTTCGCCGCTGGTGTCTGTATCCATCAAGGATGCGGCCCGCTTCCTTAAGGGGGCGGATCCAGTGCTGTCCGTCACAAGTCAGGTGTCGGTGTGCGTGCATTCGCACGCCGGTCTGTCCCTGAGACAGATCCAGCACTTGTGAAACCCCTTCACGCAACGTTTGCCCGGTTTGACACGCTTGGCGTGCCAACAGCGGCCCCTGTTGAAGGCAAAGCACAAGGGTTTGCCGTCCTCCGTCTTTGTTTTGGCTCCCTCCGGCAACTCCACCTGGACTGGGTTCTGAGTCTTGCCTGCCTCCTTCGTCTTGCCCTTGGCCTTGCCCTTGCCCTTGGGGTCGGGATAAGGTTCCCACCTAGGTCTCGGGACCTCAGGAATTGGCGGTGGCATGGGCAATGGAGCCAAGTACGAGAGAATCTCCTGGGACTCAGTAAGCTTGCTGAAGTTCTTGTCGCACAGGGCCGGGCTGCCAGGCTTTGGAGTGACATTTCCTCGAGTTAGCTCTGAAAGCAAGATCCAAAGACGCTTGTCAGCTTCCATGATCTGGCTCACTGTGATTGGCTTATAGCCCGGCGGCGTTTCCTCTGAAGGCAAGTAAAGAGATGCGTGTGCCATAGTTCAGCAACTTTGAAGCTCAGGATCCCTGACAAATCTAGCGCAAGGGACTTCCTGCGCAAGGCTGATCTAAGGCGCAGCTCCCCCGTGGTGTTGCACGTGAAGTCCGGTGTTGCATGCCCAACCTTCAAATTGCCATCCGATCCAATGGCGAAGTTCTTGGCCTGTTTGACTTGAAGGATCTCCTGCGACCTTGATG